AGCAAAATACTTTGCCGTTGCATTGATTTCCTAAAGCTGTCTCCTTCATGCCAAAGTCAACCTATCCTTAGAACAGATTAAAATGTCTGTAGTGGTCTACAATGAGTATTTTCATGTCCAAGATTTTTCTTGTATAAATCAGTGAGATTTACGTGTTGAGTTTACACTTCTATTCATGGTGTAGCTAAGAATGTACCTGGGATTATGAAACCTGTCTTTAACTGGGGAAAAATCTCCATCTTAATATGACTAAGAAAAAAGCCCCAGCAAACCACAATCCAGACATAAGGCTGCATGTTCTATGTGAAGCACTAATAAATTAATCCATTAGCGAGTGCAAATTTATCTTCTCTCATGCTTGTTATCAAGTATTCCCAGGTGTGTATGTATTCATAAAGTATAAATTAAAATGGCTTTAATACTAGCAACAAATTCACGTAGTGCAAGGACCATAAGGCACAGTATTTTTCCCACGTCAACAACAAAATACAGAAATATTCATAAAGTAAAATATAAAAGTGAATAATCTTCCTGTCTGAGTAATATATTAGTTCCTAAGAACATAACAATGCCAGAAAGAACGCAGAAATCACAATAACAAAAATAAATTACAGGCGCATTATTTGGTTAATGACCCCATCTTGCGGAGCAGCACCCACGCTTCAGCACATTAATAGCTCTCATATACATTTGTGTGGAACCGAGTCCTTAAAGAAACTGCGCTGCTTGATGGTGAATTCCTTGGCGTTGCACTCGCCGCGTCCAAGGAAGTGCTCTGCAGGCCATGGCAATTTATCATTTATATATTACGACCGTATAGCAATGAAACAGTCCTTTGTTACGCTGTGGCATGTCAGGGGTCAATTCTTTACGGTTCTGTCTCTGTTTCAGTCTTAGGTCACCACCACAGCTCGCTTCCCCCCCTTGCCCCCGCCGTGCAGTTCCCTGCGCCGTGTCTCTCTCACGTGGACCTGCTGGGAGAGTTTCTTGCCATTGTTAAGAGGGGGGAAACCCATCCCCAAAACCGGAGCTTGCAAAATCATTTCTTTTCACCGCGGCAGCGCAAGTGAGAGTAACCGCTGGACCGGTGCTTGGTCACCGCAGGGCAGCCTGACGATGGTCATAACCTGCTCCACCTGCTTCTCCCCGTCCCTCCGTCCCCCGCCGCCAGCGTGCGCTGGGTGCAGGGGGTGGAAGAGCAGCCCCGGGAGCGCTGGGGACTCGTCTCCCCGCTGCACTTCCAGCAGGGAGGTTTCTGACCCCTTTTATACCGGTATGAGAGTCCGGTCACTCCTCTGCTGGAAATGGCAGCCTGCAGTACAAAGGCTTTAGTCCAAGAGAGCCAGCGTTCGCTTTCTGCCTTCTGAAAAGGTGGGGGGGGGCCTTGGAGGCAGCCTCTGGCAGGGGCCAGCTCAGGTAAGGGCTTGGGCGCTGGGAGCAGTCGTTTTCTTGCCTTTTCTGATTTTTTTCCTAGCTGCAAAGATGTGGGGTTTGGGTTTGTTTATTTTTTGTGACTTTTTTTGTTTGTTTTGGTTTGTTTTTTTCCCCGTAGCTAGTGGAGTAAACGTCTTAGAATGATAACAACATTAAAAGCCAAACAACGGGTATGATTAATGACTGCTGACATTTCTTCTAGCACCTTTCCTTGCCTTGTGTCCCCGATTCAATATGCTGAATGACTTGGTAAACACCATTGCTGCAGGAGCCATACTTGTATTAAGGAAAACAAATTTCAAATTTAGGGTCTTGATAACTTGTGAGTGCAGCTGAATTTCTGCAGTGAGGGGGGAAAGGAAGAGAAGAATGTGAGTACTCGTTTTGTGGGGTTTTTTTTTTGGGGGTGGGGGGGGGGGGGGGGGGTCCCCTTTTTTTTTCTGAAGTCTCAGAGCAGCCCAAGTAGTGCTCTTGTTTCCAGGATCAGAATGTCTTTTGTTTTTTAAACTCAGAGGGTTGACACTCAAGCCAGGGAACGAGGGGAAGGAAGGGGAGAACGGCTGTGTTACAGACTTTTTGCACTTACAGAAAGAGGGAGGGGGGACAAAAAAGGGAAAAAAACCCAAACCACCAACCGTGGTTTACTGCGTTTGAGCAGTGCTGGCATGATACCTGGCGCGTGGAAGACTTGTTTGCAGCGTTCGGTCCCTGAGGCGCTGCTGTCACCTGTGGCGCGTCCCCCTGTGCGAGCCAGCGGGCTTAGCCTGGCTGCCAGCCGGCCTGCCTTCGGCGAGCGCGGAGGCCAGCTCCCAGGCTTTGGGCGCTGTTGCCATTGTACGCGTGCCGCGGCAGCGGGGCAAGAGGCCTGCGCCGGCGCCAGCGTGCGCTGAATCCGCAAGAATTATAATTTTATTATTTTCTGGTCCCAGATAGCTGCTTGCAGAGCTCGTTGAACTATGCTTAATGATATAGATTGGCAGCTTGGGTATTTTGCTGGAAAGGTTTATCCCATCAGACATCCTTTCATCATAATCTGTGTAAATCAGCTTTGTCAGCAATATGTGTTATGCTGGTTGCAGAAGTTGCTTTCCAGGCACATGAGATATTTAAAATAAATGACCTGACATGTTTCCACCCTCTCCGGTTGAACGTGTTTCCCAGGAAGGCCACAGATACCCTTGACTCTCACTTACATATAAACTACTCAAAGATGAACTAAAATCCTTTTTTCCATTTTTTTAAAGGAAAGGTGTGTTTTGTATGCGCTTTTTGAGAAAGTGGCTTTTAACCGCGTTGGTGAACTCAGTGAGGAGATTGCAGGCTGCCGATGGAAAACATGTAGAGACCGGGTATAGCCCAGTTAGGAACGGAGGGTTGTTATATCAGCTGTTCTACGTAGACTTAAAAAGATGATGTTGCATGATCTTGCTTCATGTGTGAATATCCTTAGCTCCTTGGAGACCAGATTACAGTGCTTTGATCTCCGTTACCATTTTTTAAAGTAAGCAGTTGGTGACTGCATCTTGATCTAGTTCACAGAAGGATTCAAGGCGTGAATTGCACACAGATAATATTTGCAGATTTCACAGGTACAGAAAACTAGAGGAGAAAACTCAAGTTACAAACCTCTGTGAAGACAGTATGTTGAATGCACTTCTGATATTTCTGATCTCATGCTCTTACAAAAATTACATCCCTGTGTCAAATGTACCAGGGGTGTTTGTACGTGACAGTTGTACGTGAATGCAAGAATACAGATTAGAAGATTGCAATGTAGAATACGGATATGTATGGTTTGAGTTATGTATTTAATACCAAAAAGACAGATTCATTTGGGTGTCACTAGACTTGCGCCTGTCCTAACACCATGCTAATAAGGTATTTATACCACATAGCCTCATCTTATCTTCTGTTCTTTTGAGATGCATGTTGTGTCTTAAGCATGAAGATAAATACGGTGTTTAGCAGCTATTATATAGATTTGTATGCTAAGTGAACTGAGCAAGCTGATGCTGGATGCCTTCTCCTGGAAGGATTGAATGAAGGGTTGCAAAAAGTGAATCACTCCCAGTATTTTCAACAGAAACCCAAATATTTCACATTCTCATCACAGGTACCGGAGCTGACAAGTCATATGAAAAAGTATTTCAAATTACTGTTGGTTTATATTGGAAAATCTTCTTTTAACTTTGCTGTGTAGTTCTTAAGTTTCCACTTTTGAAAGTTGCAGTACGTTAGTTAATGGGAGCGAGCGTTTCACGCGGCTCCCAGTAGTACCTTCCAGCTCCAAGCGCGAGCCAACACGTCGGTCTTGCTCTGTCTTTCCCGTAACCCTCCTGCTCTTCCCCTACTGCCTTCCTCTCCGCACACACTGCTCTTGGAAACTTCGGCAAAATCTGGTCTGTATTAAGGAAGTGTGACCACGAATTGCAAGGAAGACAAACGCAATTAAAATATTTTGCTTTTATTATATTTTGAAGGAGAATATTGCATTTTCCTCAGAAAACAATCCTTCTTTGTTCTTTACAATGCAAATTATTACCTCCCATCGAAAAGCAAAATATTTCAAGCCTAGTGCAGGAGAGAATTGCATTTTGCAGCCTTGGTGAACGTCTGGCCTTCCAGACTTTCAGTCTGGACTTGAAGCTACTACTCCTTACACACTGAATTCTGAAAAGTCAGTTATCATTGTTTCTGTTGGCCTGTCCCTGCAGGATGGAGAGTTTGTTATTCTTTAATTGTAGATCAACTTCAACGTAACTCCTATCAACTTAAAAATAATAAGCTTTTTATGTAAATTTAAATCTACTTTGCACTAAAACACCTGTCTGTTAGAGACATATCATATCCCAATTTGTCATGGGGAAAAAAAGGTCCTGAAATGTTTTGAACTCCATGTGGTAAATTCAGTCAATGCTCTAAAAACATTAAAATTTTTGCTTCAGTTCTAGATGTCTTGAAATTATTGTATCGTGTCAGTCAGATGGCTAAGTGGGGAACATGGCTACTCTTCCCCGAAGTCAGATTTTCCATTACGCAACAGAGAGCAGTTGTGCAATCGCGCTGGGTGCAAGCGTGGCCACTCCAGTGAGAGCTGCAAAACTCAGGAAGAGCCTTCCATTCATCTCTCTAGGTTTTGCTCTCTGTCAGAGAAAATGAAAGCCAGAACATTGTCTAACTAATGGCAATAGTTAGCATGTCGAGGGAGGAGTTTCAGGAGGAAGAGAAAATGCGATTCCTGTAGGTAGCTGGCTTGAGGCACTTCGGTGGAATATAAATATAACGAGTAAAGGCGTTCATGTCCTTCCCCAAATACACTTGTCTTCTGGGACAGCTCAGTGCCCTAAATTCCCGTCGTGGGATTGCCCTTCGAAGGGCTGGGTTCTGCTTTTCTTTCTGACCAGTACCCGCACAGCGTGCCCCTGACCCCGCGTTGTGTTCTGCAGCTCTGCCGTATGAATGTTGAATGCTGCCAGTGACGATAAAGGCGATACGGACGTTTCAGTCTATTTCTAACATTTCCGTCTCTTTTTTCTTTTTTCTTTTACATGCTTTCTTGGGTACAGCAGACCATTTAGGAATTGAATTCATGGGTAAGTTTTCATTTCTCTTCCTTTCACTTGCTAATGTTTATCGTGGTGCCTTATCCCAAAGCACGTGGAAGTTCACGGGAAGACTCCCATGACCTCCATCGGTGGATTTTGGATTGGGCTCCTGTTATGTTTACCGATTACATTTGAAATTATATGAAGATCTGGTTTTTCTCTTGTCCACTGCTAGGGGGCTTAAAAACCACATATTGATGGTTTAGTATTTTATTGGTGTTTGGTGAAACATAATATAAAGATTGTATGGACATATCATGACATTTGAGGAATAATATTTTATATGAGATTTTAGGAAAGAGTTAATGCCTATCTTCATGTAAAGGAAAGTAAATTTTAAATTAGAGATTTTTTTTTTTCGGAATTTGGTGTTGATTACAATGTTAAATGTAACTAGGTTTAATAAGAACCATTTCATTAGCTTTTAACAGACAAGACAGAGGAATACTTTTAAGAAAAGGGACAAATAAGTTAACTTCAGGTTAGGAAAAAGCTAAAGCAGGAGTGAATAATTGCCTCTTATAATTTTGGAAAGGAAAAGACAATGTTCTATTGACTCAGTTGCTGCCCTGTAATGTATTCATAGCCTGAGGGACTGATAGGCTTAACAGGTCACCGCTTCAGCTCTCAGCTGGTGATCTGCAGAGGGTATAGGTAATTTCCTCGAGGAAGCCGGGGTTTGTCCTTAGCAGAGTTAGTGGACTGGTGCATCATTTGTGTAAAACTAGCTTGCATAAACCATTAAATATGACTAAAAACACTATAATAAAAAGCTTGCAAATTCATATCGAAGTCATAAAAAAAATTACTTTTAATGTGTCCTTTCCCTATGTTGAGTTTTACTTAATTTTTTTAGATTTTAAAAATAAAAACACGATAGCCTAGTGATCGTAGGTGGTGATATGGGGATTTTGTTGACGAGCTGAGTATAAGTTGTCATGAAACCAATATGGTGATGAGTGTTAACTGCGTGGCAGGCTGCATTAGCAAGAGGATACCAGCAGGTCGAGGGATTTTTTCCTACTGCTTTTGGACTTGTCTGGCATACCTAGAGAACTGTCTCCTCTCTAGGGAAGAGTTCTCTCTAGAGAACTATTCTGTGATCTCCGGAAGTTTAGTGTTTCACTTTACATGAAACTTTAAAAGTACCAGTGGAATTGATGCAAGTGTTTTCGCAGACTTAGCGGGCAAGCACAGCTGGGAAATGGTTACTTCAAAGGCTCTGCATATATCCCAGTTTTACTGCTTAACTTAACTTCTAAGCAGCAATCTTGAGCCATACGAGTTGAAGGACGAGCATATACATAAAAGAAACAGGATAAGGAATATATATAGGATTCTTAGTGTGAGCCTTTCCATAGGAAGCAGGAAAGTGTTACCCAGGAGGCAAAGCTGATTTACTTTATTTTGAGCATTTTAGTTTCCTCTTTTTTTTTTAAGACATCTCTTTAAGGCTTGAAATAAAGCCAAGCCCTGAAGTCTTGGCTCAGAGTAGTCTTCTCGTATGAGTAGCTTTCTGATTGTCTTATTTAATATTGGAACAGAGCTTGATGGTATAGGAATTAACGAAATCTTGTGTCTCGAGCCTGAAAATATTATGACGGAAGTCTAAAATGAGGCTTCAGGTGGTTTTCTGTGGGCTAGAAAAAAGCAAGTTCCAGAATCGTATGCAAAAGTGAAATGTTTGTGCTTCTTAAAGCCTCCTCTGATCTTCTTGAAGAATTACTTAGGAAGTGTAAGCACATATGGAATCATTACTGCACACATAGCAAAGTACAAATCCCCACCGTGTATACAGAGAGGTTAGGTGACAATACACTCATCAAGTCAGGGCCGCTCATGCAAAGCCTCTCCCATGAGTTTACTTCTGTACTGTAGAAAATAATTGCAATTAGTGGGAAGAGTATTTTCCAGTTATGAAAAATAACAATGTATAGATGCTGCAGAGCTTAGCCTTGGTTGTACGTGACCCAGGGCACGCTCTTTCTAATGTTTTCATTGCACGTGTGGGCTCAGTTGCCTTAGGAATTCCATTTCCATCATCATCTTCCAGAAATTTCGCTTGAAAACCCTGTAAGCCTGGATTCCCAGGGAAGGTTGAACTCCTTCCACAGTAGGTAAAGCTAAAATCTCATGTAGATAGGAACATGTGTCTACAACAAAGGCGCCCCAGGGGACAGATGAAATGTACACTAACTGCACATCTAGCTCAGTGTACATTCGCCAAGGAAAGTAGATGAGTGTAGCCTTTTTTTTTTTTTTGCTAGACTCTCGAGAAGCATTGGAGTGTATATACCTGCCCAGTCCTTTTACTGTCCTGTTAGGGATCTGTTGTCGATGGATTTGTGTATCCTTTTGTGAACCAGCCGGTACTGTCTTCCCCCACAAGCTCCTGTGGTAGCCAGTTCCAGAGCTCAGTAGTTAGAGGCTGTGTACGTTGCTTTTCCATTACCTGTTGAAATCCGCTTCCTACCAGATCCTTAGCTCTCACGTGCAGGACTTACTGAACAAGAGTTATGCATTCAGTTTATCCACCGCACCGACTGCTGTGTTAACCTCTCTCATGTTCTCACATCCCTTTCCCCTTTTGGATATTGTCAAGATACAATATTCAATATTGCGCATTCCCGAACATGAATACCCGATACTTTAATATTGTTGCTGGCTTTGGTTTGCAGTGTCTGTTTCTTCGTATGGATAGCAGAGATAAATGCAGGCATATTAATGTGGCGTATCTGTTTTAAAATGTTGCAAATGTAACAATTAATGTACAGTTCTGATGTATGCACGTGAAGCTTCTCTTGAATTAAATGAAAGCCAAGTATGTGTTCAAGGGACACGATGTCCTTAAAAATATGCATTTAAGTATTGTCATCAGAGTGGCCAAGCTTTATGAAATTTCTAGTGATAAGGAAATGCTTTGTACATTCTAGTACCTCAAAGGAAAAAAACAAACCCGAGTCTTGTGTTTGATACTCACTCGTGAGAGCTAGATTCAATTTCCATCTCTGATGCGATCTTCTGCTTTGGAGAGGCTTTGGGCAAGGTATTTTAATCTCTCTGTGCCTTAGGTTCTCAGTTACAGTAATTTCTGTCAGGCTTTCTGCATTTAGATTCCTTGGCTCTCTGGGGAATCTCTTTCAGTGGTGTGTAACACAAACTATTGCTTCCTTGCAAGAGGGTGCAGGCTTCGCTGCCGCCTTGCCTGTGCTCCCCGGTTCCTCGTAAGAGAGCACCACGGTGCTTGGGAAGACGTTCAGCTCACGCAGGGGTGCAATGCACGTGGTCTGGGTTGGTGCACATGTCTGCACGATTCCCAAAGCGTCTCACCGATGATGATGCATGCAATTTTATTTAAATTTCCAACACAAAGGTAAATAAATATTATCACAATGTTCCTACAAACTGGAAATCTACTCGTATTAACTGTTTCAGGTCAATTGAAAGCAGGCTGGCTGTCGGTAATGCTCATGTGAGGCAGCAAGTTTGTAAAAAAACCAGAGAGAAATTGAAAGAAGCAGCTTTTATTCAATGAGAAAACTAAGTGATGTATTGTTAGCGTCAGATAGCATGGGGATATATGAGTATCTACAGCTTATTATCATTTTTTTGGCTGAAGTGGTTAACTGCACTTCAGGGCTGAATGGTTTATTTTTGTCTGATGGAAAATTTGATGATGAAGCCAAATATCTCTGATAGCCACCATGGCTGATCAGGTTACTTTGGTGCAACAGGTAGCAGTTGAAAGCTGAGTTGTGGAGACTGACCTCGTGCATGTGGTCCCAGCTGCAGAGTGAAATCGTTGCTTTAACTGCCAGATACAAGGAGATGCAAAAGCCTGAGGGTGATCTTTGGAAGTAAGCGTTCTGGGCAAAGAGTCAGTGCCCGAGACAAGGAGTCGTCAGTTTTACTCATTTCCTACGCACTGAGAATGAGTAGAGTTAAGGTCTGTTAAGGGATGAAACGTGAAGGTGAGTGAGTACTGGAATAACCTGCTACGATACATGAACAAACATGACCGTTTCAGCAATTCACCCCCACCACCTAATCTGGTGATCCAGAATCTTCATCTTTTGTTCTGTAACAGCAATGTACGATGGATACAGTGGAAAATAAAATGCCCCAAGAAAGTGCAGCAGGCAGGTCGCTACAGTTATGATGGAAACACGGTAATTACATGAAATAGTCCTCATCCTTAGGCTGCTTAGCAGTTAAACCAATATCAGTGGTGTAAACAATTACGATGTGCTAACCTGAATCTCCCCATGCGTGAATTGCAAAAATAATATAGCGCTTGCTATATTTAGTCACTACTTTTAACTTGCTGATACTTAGGCCTTAAGCAGGAGATAAATATTCTTCCTTAGAACTAGTTATCTTTTCTGGAAAAATCAGCAGAAGCGTCACTGAAGTCAGTGGAGTAAGAATGATATACAATACCCTTTTAAGTGGTGAATCATTAAATAACATTTAATTGAGCAGAGCAATAAAGTAACTCAAGAAAGGGATCCTATTAAAATTTATATATCTCCTTGCAACGACTACAATGTGAAATGTATTCAGTTTTCGGTACTCTGAGCAGTTGTTAATATGGGAGAAGATGGTGTATGCTTTATTTTCACTGGGCTGATTCTCACTGCCTCCTCATTGCGATAAGACAGCTGTATGCCTAAGACTCTGGCAACACGTGATCCAGGTAACTAAATTGACTCTGTGACCTTGTGCCATGCACTGTGACAGATGCATTTTGATTTTTCCAAACCGCAAAAGTTGGTTTTGCTGATGGGCAGCATAAGCAAGACCGCAACAATTTAGTATTCTTCCTGTTTGTGAAGAAATAAAAAGGCGAAGTTTGTTAGTTCCTGCACAGCTCACAACACGTGCAGCTGGTGAGCTGTCCTCTGAAACTCAACGTCTTGTAGCAGCAAACAGACAGTGAAAATAAATAACCAGTGTTTGCGTGGATGGTCCAGCCTTCGGTACCATTT